GATCAGCCTTTAAGTATGAACTTTTACAGGCAAGACTGTATAACCACACAAAATAGAGCATTGCAGTGGCGACACAGAGGGGGTGCACAGGGGTGCACATGCACCCTCTGAGAATGCTGGTGCACCTCTTGACAAGCTACACTCCCTGCTTAGGCGATGAGCGGGGAGGGCAGGCTGGAGTGCTGGTGCCCACCCTGCAAGCATCGGCCAAGGAGTGGGGGCAACAAGTGAAGTGCTGCTGGTACTTCCAGGAGTTGACGCGGTTTGTGAGACTGGCTGTGGGGGAACCTCCCCCCACTGGTTGCTGACTGGTCACTGGGAGGATACATGCCCCCTCCCCCCAATTCAGGTGGCACCAGTCACCCATGGAGCATCAAACACTTCAGAGGAAAAAAATGTTAGTTAGTGCTTCTTTGCTGTCACATACAGGCTGGTATTTCATTTTACATATAATATGTTTCGGTGTTTTGTTAACTAGTTTTTCCAATGATTCCTTATAGTGAAATTGCAAATCCAACGAGTAGATGCAAGTACAATGTCCTTTGACTAAGGCTCAAAGGAATCTGTAATACTAAGCTGCCTAAAAGTCTGGTTCTTTCTGCATTTTTCTTCTGTTCAGGAAGAAAAGATATCCTTGGGCTTGTTATAGATTTCAAAGTTATTCTTTTGAATCTTCTTGAAAACCTCTCTGAAACTGAAGATGCTCAGCTCTAGCTTGCCTTAGGTTCAATAAGTTTTTTAGAGGTATGAGAAGTAATGAAATTTTGACCCATCTGATTTGGGATTCCACCTGTTCCACAAGCTCAGCATTACTTTGATCTGAGGTTTCAGTTCAAGCCTATCTATAATAATAATAATAATAATAATAATACTCTTGTCCTACATTATAGCAGAAAAAGGAAAAACTACTTTTATTAAAATTGCAAATCATTCATTATATCATTTAGTCCAAGCTTTCTCCAGCTCTTGCTTCTCACACTGAAAATTATTAGGTTCTGTTTCTGCCGACAGGTAAACTTTATGGAAAGTCTGATTAAAACTGGTTTAGCCATTTCTGTGCATGGTGACAGTAGGGGAAGAAAAATACATCTTTCCAATATAAAAATATTCTTGTGTTTTTACTGTGTTAGAAATTTTTGCTGTCAAAACTAAGAAGGCATGAGAAATGAAGCTGTGCATACCCTTATTACAAAGGAAATTTCTTTTTTGATTTCATCAGGGTGCAAAGGTCTGAAAGCTGTGCAGATGATTATTTTCATAATATTGACTTTATTAATCAATCTCTTTAAAAATCTGTGGTACCACTGGATTAAATGGTAGGACCCTTGGCTCACTTCTTATATTGGAATACACCTGACATGTAACCTTGGCCAATTTGCAGTATCTCTTTTTCCTTGCTTACTTTGTCTTGTTAGTTCTTCCATTTATGCGCTGCAGTAGCATAGGTAGGAGAAAGCAGGAGTGGCACCAGACCCCATGCAGATATAAAAGGGATACCAAAACATGTCCTGAAAACCCCTTCCAGCTGCTACAGCCACAGCACAGTGGTCCTGCATGGCAGTGGCAGAAGCTGGGGTCTTTGAGTCTTTGGAGTGAGGTAAGATTCATTAATACCCCACTTTTCTACAAGCTGGGCACAATATCCTCTATCTTCCCTCCTCCCCTGCCCCACCTCCACTTTTCCCAGGGCACCAAAATAGCCACTACAGTTGTGCAAAAAGGCTGTGTTTCATTTTGGTTTCAAATTTGGCTGTTTTGGAGGACAGTGAATCATTTTGGTGTTTCAGATCTCTGTTCTGTTTTGATCCAGCCAAATGTGTTTTGGGGTTTCGATGCTGTTTCAGTGCTGATTTGGAGATTCGGATCAGCTGAGGAGAGGCAGGCACAGTCGGGCGGCCCCAGGTTCTCCCACAACTCCTCCAGCTGTGCCTTTCTCTCCCTGGATGTGTGTGGGGGGAAAGCCCCATGGCTGCCCTGCCCAGCCTATCCCCTGCCCAGCCACAGCCTCCTGGCACTTTAAAAAAAAAAATGCTCCACACTCAGCAACAGTGATCAGGGCCCCTGAGGGCTTGTGACAGAGCAGTGGGAATCGCATCCCCCACCCCCCCTGTCTGGCACCCACGTGACAGCTGTCCCGTTGTGCAGGTGCAGCACATCTCGGCAGGGGACTGCTCACTGTCTGGGAGCGGGGGTGGCTGGGGCTGCTCCGGCTGACAGGTGGAGACAGCCCAAGTGGCAGCAGCTCCTTCCGGCTGACACCACCACCACGGCCAGTCCCAGCCCTGTGATCTTGGCAGGCACCCACACTGCAAGCCTCAACCCCATGATGTGTCCCACGCCTGCTCCAGGCTTGGTCGCCAAGGCTCAGTAGCAGCAGCACAGGAGAGAAGCTGCTGGGCAGCATGAGGTAAAATCACCCCTCCCTCCTGCTGATGGTGCTTCCTGGTGTAGCCCCCACAGACCCCGTACCAGGCTGCCCTGCATCTACACTACATCAGCGCTGCTTCTGGGCTGCCTGGTGGGGCAGAAGTGGCAGCACAGAGCAGGTGCAGGGCAGCCTGGCATGGGCTCCAGGAGGCTACATCAGGAAATGTCAGCAGTGGCAAGAAGGAAGAGACTTTTTTTTTTTTTTTAAGTGCCAGGATGCTGAGGCTGGATGGGAGCTGGGGCCAGGCAGGGCAGCCATGGGGCTTCTCCCATGGCACCCCCCACTGGGGCAGAGGCAGGCACGGCCAGAAGAGCTGCAGCAGAAGCCCTGTGGCTGCCCTGCCCAGCCCCATCCCCTGCAAAGCCCCAGCCTCCCGGGACTTTAAAAGGAGGGCTGTGGAGCTGTGCCAGACTATTCCCAGGGGCACCTCCGAAACATTCCAACACATTTCCAAAACTTTTTGGATGGTTTTGTTTAGTTTTGGAGATGTTTTGAAACCTTCCATTTCATTTCAGATCCAGTGTTTTAGGCACCCAAATGGGCCGAAACACCTCCAAAATGAAACGGCTGCTGAAATTTCACACAGCCCCAATAGCCAGCCTCTGGACTGTCTCTTACAATCTAAGCTAAGACACTGAAAACTTTCCCAGATATTAACCCTAAATATTTTATCAGGTATTTGGCTTCACCTTGCTTTCATGTAGGAGAAACCTTAGCACTAGGTAGAGGGCTGTGGGTGGTCAGGGATTGCTGCTGGCCGCTGCCAACACTGCCAGCAACATCTGCAGATGGCTGCCAACCCCTAGTTGGCACTCGCTTTGCCACTTCCCACTACCCCCTTGCTGCCGACAACACTGGCAGTGTCTGCGGGAGCTCCCTGTTTACCGCCACCATGCTCCTGCCACCGCCAGTGCCACCATGCCCCCCCAGCCGCCAGGGGCATGCGTCATTCATGGTTACAGCCAGTGACACTTGGATTATCCATGTCCACAGACCAGGCCCCACCGCCCTCTGTACCCATGTGCTAGGTACATGAAAGCAAAGTGAAGTCAAACACCTGGTAAAATATTTAGGGTTAATACCGGGGAAGTTTTCAGTGTCTTAGTTCAGAGTGGTTCCTTGCATTTCAGCAATTAGTTCCAACTAAGTCTGTTACTTCACAACCTAAGACAAGGGTGCTGTTGTCTGATGATTGGGGCTCTTGTGATTTATGAGCAAGGGCAGAGAGTTCTGAAAACAGGAAAGTTGCCTTATTTAGCTTTGCATTTGAGGGTTTAAGCTGTATTTAGGGACTGCAGCAGGAGACAATGCTGGGTTTCCTTTTGTTTATATTCTTTTAGTTACATGAGTATCCTTACTCTAAACCCCAGAGAGGACTGGCTAGGTTGGTTATGTTTTGCTGGGAAAAATTTGTGAAGTTACTTAGCTGCATGACATTGCTCCTGCAAGCAGATAGGCTATTGAGTGCTCTCAATATCCAGGAAGGGTCTTGAGAAAAATGATAGGAAAAAAGAAAAAGTGTGAAAGGGCTAATTCATATAGCAGAATGCTAAAAGGAAGTCTTTAGCCAGATGAATAAGTTGTTTATAAAATCAACTGTGAACAAACTGTGACAGCTAGAAAGGAGAATAAACCTCTCCCAGTGAAGTACATAGAGTGGCTCTATTTGTGTAAGGTGCTTCTGTGTTGTCTTAGAACTATATTATCTGGGCCACTTACTACAAGTCACCTTCTCTCCTCCAAAGTTATTTATTTCATCTCTATTAATGAAACTGTATAATAAGAACAATCTTATCACAGAAGCTCCGTGGATGTTTTTGCAGTGTATCCTGCAATTATATATTGAAGGTGATGAAATAATAGTATCCTTTGATGTATCTTCCCATATAGGGACCTGCAAAAGAAACCACTTGAGTCTTGAAAAAGGAAAACTAAAAAAGCTGTTGGCAAATAATTACAAAAAAACTAGTTAAGATTAAATTGCCTAAATATTCCTTCTGTCACATGCTTAGAAAATTCATACTGTCTAAAGAAAACCAACAAAGATCAGTGAAAGGTAGGAGAGAGAGATGAGCATCTGGAAAGAAATAAAAACCCTACAAAAAGATGAGCCTATTGTTCATTATACATCATTTTAATCCATATTTTCTTTCCCCTGCTCTTCTTATGCCTCTGTGTAAAGGATACATATTGCAGATAAACTGATTAGAAATAGACAGATGCTGCAAATAAAATGTTGCATATCTGAACAAAATAAACATACGGCTGATGCCAAGAGAAAATATTAATTTGTCAGTAAAACGTGTAATTGTAACTCACCACAAATTTGGCAAAGAAGCAAAACACATTCACACACAGGAAATCAGTGCCAGAAAATAAAACAACTAAACTGAATAAGACAAGTTACACGCCATCAACAAAGTGGCCGGCTGCAGCTGCATCTTGAGCTCCCTGTCTAGCAGGGACTTGGGGCCAACCCACAGAGTTTGTTCTATTTTTGACAATGGCACATTCCTCCTGTGAATTAGATTACAGAAAAATTATAGCCAGAAAACAAACTGGTTGCACTTACTTCAAAAGAAAGGCGTGTCCTCGCATTAGAAAATGGGCACAGCTGAAGGAGGAATCTGCAGTTCCTTTAAAAATAAAATTTGACTACATTTTCCTGTCCTTTCCTGGTTTAAAATATAGATCAAATGCTAACTTAAGTATAGAAAACTCCATAGATGAAAAAGCACTCAGGAGATGGCTAAAAAATCTCCCCTATTTATGTAATGGGGTCAGGTCTCAAACCCATGGAAAGGGAAAGAATTTATTTTTAGAAACCCTGGCATTTTGTATGATAGGAATGGATTGGTTCATTTTTCTCTTCTTCAGGTGGAGAGATTTGTGGCCCAGACAGCTGGATGTGGTCTGCCGGTAATGAAATGCCCTATTATTTGTAGGGAAATCAACTAATTATTCCATGAATCCTATAGTTTTCTTCCCTTCACTGCGCTCTCTCAGGTTTATCTGCCCACCTTTGTGAGGTTATTTCAAATAGCATGTAATCATTGACTGCTCTGTTTATGAGTGTCTCATACATTTTCCATCCACCCCCTTCTGAGTGGGGTAGAATTCACAGATGGAATTAATGCTGCTGTTTGCAACATTTACTTCCATACCCATTTCTGTTCAGGACTCCAGCAGACTAGGAGACAGTTGAAAAGAGTGAGTGCTCCCTAGACACATACTCAAACCACTGAGCCCTGACCATCCAGAAGGATTTATCATGTAGTCAGAGGAGAAAAAAAGTGATGAGTAACTCTAACTATTCTTGTACCATTTCTGGGCCTTGGAGTAAACATTGGAACACAAATGAATTAAAATGATTTGGAGCACCTCTTGGTTGATGTTTTACCTTTCATTTAAAATGCCTTAGGAAGTTGGAACACAGATAATCAGGCTACCACAGATTTCATGCTATCAAAAGGAATTCTGTTTTTTCCCCAAAACAGCACAGTAAAAGGACAAATAGGGATGCCTCCAAGCAAGAATACAATTGTACAATGTTTGAACATTAATTACACTACACAGAGCACTAATTTTGGTCAGCAGTCAAATCCTAGAAACTATCCTTGTTGTCTGATCTGTAAAGCAAGATCCATACTGTACGCGAGGAGCAGGCAATTATCTTGGCTGGAGGGCCGCCTAACAAGTTTTGGTGAGCTGTCGAGGGTTGCAAAGGTAGCCCTGCCTCCTGGTTGCCATCTTGGGACTGGAAGTTCTACCCCTGACCTTTGCCACCGGGACTCCCTCCCCTTGCCCTCAGAAGTACTCCTTTTCTGAATGGGGAATGGGTTTTGCCATCTTGCAACCAGAAAAAAACAAATTATATGCTAAAAATCAAGCGTCGACAATAGCATACTTCAATTTTATTTTTAAAAATATTTTTGTCTTGATTTGTGTGTGTGTGTTTTGTTGTGTATATAGATGTGATTGCATAATATCTCAAAATGAAGTCTTAGTCTTGTATATTGTGGGGGAGTGTGGAGGAGTGAGGGGGTAAGGGTGGGTGGTTATGGTGTTTGTGGGGGGCTGTAGGTGTGTGTAGCTGTGTGTATGTAAGGTGTGGCAAGTGTGTGTGGGTATGGGGTTTGTGAGGGACTGTGGGGTGTGTGAAGAGGGAGGGTGGCTGGTACATGTGTGGGGGGGGTGCATGTGTGTGGTGCTGTGTGTGAGTGTAGCAGTGTGTGGGGCTCCCCCCAGAGGTGCATGGGTGTGTGTAGTGGGGAGGGTGTAGGTGGGTGTGGTGTTTGTGGGGGGGTTGATTGTGTGCAGGGGAGAGGGTGGTTGTGGGATTTGTGGGGGAGGGTTTGTGGGTATGGTGGGCTGTGCATGGGATCCCCTCATGTGAGTGTCCCCAATCTGTTCAGCCCCTGCCCCCACCCTGCAACAGCCTGGAGCCCACATGCCCTGCAGTGCCCCCCTGCTACCACCAACAGCACACAGCCCCAGTGCACCCCTCGCCTGCTCCAGACGCACCTCTGCTGGAGCAGATCAGCCAGAACCCAGGCACAGCCGGGACCTGGACCACTCCGCACCACCCACAGGTGGTGGGTCCTACTGGCCCCTGGGCACACAGCGAGGATGGGGTGGCTCCATGGCTGAACTGCCTTTCTAGGCAGCCCAGGTGGCAGCAGCTCCTTCCAGCTGCTAACACCACCGCCCCCAGCCCCAGCACCATGGTCTTGACAGGGACCTGCACAGCATAGCCTCAACCCCATGTGTCCCGTGCCTGCTCCGGGCTTCCCTGCCTAGGCTCAGCAGTGGCAGAATAGGTGAGAAGCTGCTGCTCAACATAGGTTAAAATCAGCCCCTCCCCCTCATGCTGCTGGTGCTTCCTGGTTTAGCCCCCTAGAGCCTGAACCAGGCTGCCCTGCATCTACAGCACATCACTGCTGTCTCTGGGCTGCCTGGCAGGGCAGCAGTGGCAGCACAGAGCAGGGCAGCCTGGCATGGGCTGCAAGAGGCTACATCAGAAAATGTTGGCAGTGGCAAAGGGGAGGAGCCACTTTTACCCCATGGTGAGTTTCTGTCCTGTGCTGCCGCTACTGAGCCTTGGTGGGGAAGCCCAGGGCAGGTGCAGGGCGCGCAGGGCTGGGGCTGTGCAGTACAGATCCCTGCCAGTACCACAGGGTTGGGACTGGCAGTGACTACAGCTGGAAAGAGCCACCACCACCTGGGCTGCCTAGAAAGGCAGTCCAGCTGCAGAGCCACCTCAGCCCCACTCCATGCCTGGGGGGCAGCAAGATAGGGTCTGCGCCAGGTGGGACCAAGGGACCCACTGCAGGCTGGACGAAGACCCACTGTAGGCTGAATCCAGCCCGTATGGAGGATTGCGCTCCACTTTTTGCCTAGCTGCAAAGCTCCATGCACACTGAGAGTTTAATCACACCCACAGAATAAAATAACCTCATCCTTTATGGACTGGTTGATCTCTTTTTTCCTCCTGCCACGACTTTGATGCAACAGGTATGAAGATAAACAGAGTCTTGAGTGACAGAGTTGTTACTGTATCTGCAGTTCAGAAAACTGACTCTTCTTTGCAGGGCTCCACCTTACCCAAACCCTGCCCTTACCACACCTATTGTTTCAGTTGCATATTTATTAAGTCTCTTCTAAAATAACACTCTCAAAATATTCTGTTCTGTCTCTCTCTCGGAACACTCTTGTTCTTGGTCACTTGCCCCATTCTTCCCCGCACGGGTCCCAAACAGACCATCGTATAGTTCAACTCTGTCCTTATCTAATGTTGTCTGAGTATGAGGGGGTCATCTCCATACCTAGTTTCACTTCTCTCTTTCTCTAGATTGCCTGGAATGTATCCAAAGTCCCCCGGAATCAGTCACATACTGGGTTGTCTCTGTGGTCTTCTGTCTCCCATTTTGCTGGTCTTTCTTTCTTTGGGACTCTTCTTCTGGTGCCCTCTCTTGGCTGTGTGATGTAGCACTCACACATTCACACAGATCTTCTTCTGTGACCTTTTTTTCTTTCTTTGGGAACCAGCTCCACATCCAGTTCCCCTTTAATTCTTCCCAGCTCTCAGCTGCATCTCCCACAGCTGTCACTCTCTTGCCACTTCTTTCCCCCGCCCCCCCCCAGCTCCTTTTTTTCATTTGGGTCTCCCTCTCTGTCATCAGGGTTTCTCTGCTCCACTCTAGGTTCATTGCTTCATTCCCCATTTCCCATGCTCATTACCGAGGTAAGTTCCTCTTTTCTCTTCACTCCCTTGGAGCTCCATGACAGGGCAGGTTTGCCCTGACACACACACCTATTATGGTATGCCCAATAATTAGTAACTAACTACATTTTGGGGCACAATTAAGGGAATTTAGCCTCACCGTGGGTGCATCTACAGGAGACACTATGTCAATGTAGTGCAAATTATGTTGATGTAGTTCATCGCTACAGCAACACAGCGTCAGTGGGCTGTAACTATGACACCGTTGCTACTGCACAGACGCAGCGAGCTACTGTGCAGTAGGGTCAGAAATTACCTTTGCACTACCAGGACTGTGCAGTACAAACCATGTATAGATGTGCCCAGTATACAGTATATTTATACTATAGTTTTATGGAATGAGTGAAAATACTATTTATGTTATATTGTCACCTAAAAAACTTAATTAAAAGACATCCAGGAAAATGCAAAACTACTATGTGCAGCATAGTCGCATGTTTTTGTTTTGTTACCTCAGCAGTGCACAGTAATGTCTGCTTTGAGCACACATTGGCCACAGCTGGGAAGGTCATTATCAAGCAGCTTGTGTCCACTAGCTGCTGTTGGGAAGGTGTGGATATTTAAGCTTGTGTGTGCTGAATGTACTCTGACCACTGCTAAGGATGCCATTGCCAAGGAGCGTGAGGAAACGGTGGGAACCTAGTGGCCATTACTCCATGTCAGTTGTTAATTCCCAATAGATTTTTCTGCAGGTGAAGGTAATAATGAGCTTAGATTTTTTTTCATCCATTTCATAGCTCTAAAAAATACAAAAAAAATAAATTGATGACAAGTGTAATAAACTCCACAAGATATTTTTTTCAGCTGAGTTGCATTAGTGATGAAAACTTTTGGAAAAAGCTTTTTGTAAAAGAAAACAAAAATCATGACACAACTAAAGGCCCTAATCCAGCAATCTAGTCTATTATAGCTTGCAGATTCCAGTGTACAGCAAAGGCCAAAATTATAATAAATGTAATATTCAAACAAAATCATACTTAAGGAATTGCAAAATTACATTTTCCCTTTACCAAATGCTTTGGTGCAATAATCACTTTCCAGCAAATAGTTTCCTGCAGAGTCTATAATAAGAATAATGTTCCCTGTGCTGTAAGCTAAACTGTGCACTATACCTGGCTGCTGTGTATGTTTCTGCTGAGCTGAGCAGAGTTCATCCTGGCTCTGTGGTGTGAAGGTCAAGCTTCTGAGCTTGTTATGTCATGCCGATTTCTTCCCTTGATTCCCTTTTTTGCTTAAATTGCCTCTGCGCAGTTGAACAGACTGTTTCACATCATTATTCTCTTGATAAACAAGCCTACAACAAGCAGCTGTTTTCGAGAGGGAATCCCTTGTGCACCAGGGTGCTGATGTTGGATAAGGACAAATAAAGCAAAAGGAATTCACAAAGGTTTGCCTGAACAAATATATCAGGTTGACCCTGATGACCTTTACCCCCCGCCCCGGCCCCCCATTATATTAATTTCCTATCTAGGTCTGTAGAAGAGACTTGGTTTGTTTGTTAAAAGGTTTGTTGAAGGTTAAATTTTCATGACTACTCATGCAAAAATGTGTCTGTGCATATTGTATGTTCTGGAAGTGTTAATGCAGCCCTCAAAATATCTGTGATTTCTCTTGGGTATTTCGTAGATTTCAGAAACATTAGGGCTGGAAGGGACCTCAGAGGATCATCGAGTCCAGCCCCCTGCCCCAGGGACAGGAATTCATCAGGGGTCATAGGATCCCAGCAACATAAGCATCCAATTTACTCTTGAATGTGTTCAATGTAGGTGCTTGAACCACCTCCGATGGCAGACTGTTCCAGACCTTGGGGGCTCGGACAGTAAAGAAATTCTTCCTTATGTCCAGCCTGAA